CTCAAATTTGGGTTAATAATCTAATATATATGTCCCAAAAAAGTAAGTATTTTCGTACTTATCATTATCAATAGTGTACGTCGATGATGTTGGATCAATTGAACCACCAAGTGTACCACCGATGAGAACAACACCCTTCACCGACAGGTGCACAGATGTTGCACTCAATGATAATGATACGTCTTTTTTCGAAATTATCTCTGCACATGTGAACACTGCCGTTACATCCATTGCTGTTTGCGACCACGCATATTTCTTCTTCCCAACCTGCGATGGCTTCTCAATCCCTGAAAAAAAAAGAAAAAAAAATCAGAAGAAATTTAAATCAGGCAATAAAAAAACGAGCAAATTGTAGAAAAGTTACCGGCCACACAAACAGAAGACCAGGAAGTGAGAAACAACAAATGGTTCTAGGTACTACGAATACAAGCACGATAGGAGTGGAAAATTATTACAGAAAACAAGCAGGGAAAAAAAATAAAAAAATAAGCAGTACGAAATTCAGCAGAAAAAAAAATATTAGGCAAAAATATAAGCAGTATGAAACTTTGCAGAATGTCAGGCAGTAGGTCAAATAATGATTTATGATCTTTTGTTAGAAACGGCGTAAGGAACAACTGCGTTACTATGATGCAATACTTCGGTCTCTGGTTCAACCTTTGAACACCCTGCCCCGTTAACGTTTTTGCAATCTTAGTAATCTCTGACTCCTTTGGTATAAAAGCACTCTCTCCACCTCCGGGAACCAGAAATAATCCAGAGTCACCACGTCCTTCTTAACCCTGTACTAGGGAGCTTCGGCTCTCCAGAATCTCATCACCTTTTTTTGTATTGTCTTATCTTACTTTACGCTGTATAATTCAATTTTGTATCTAATCATAAATATATGTATATAATATAACTAGGTATTTCCATACACCCACCCACCCACACGCACACACACACACACAAACATACACACACACACACACATGGCACGCCACTAGTCTAGCAAGTTAACTTTTAGAGTCACAATAAGAAGTAAAAATATTAAAATTTCATAAAATCTCGAAAAAATAAAGTTGTAAAGTCTGCAAAATGCCTACCAGTTTCTATTGTCATTTCTTCATCTTCGGGGGCAGCTGTATCCGTTTCATTTCCACAAAAAGTCAAATCACCCGTGCTAACAACAATAAGACTTTCGGGTGATCTATCAAAAGTGGTCATTTCGATATGTCCCGAACATAATACGCTGCGGATGTCTCCCAATCGCATTGTTCCATTTTCTGAAAATAATCAATTTTAAATTTAAAATTTGAAAGGTTGAAAAAAAAACAAATTTTGGATTGACAGGAGGCTAATCACTAGATGAGGCAGCACTGGTAGCACCGGAGCACTGGGCCAGTGAACGAGACCTCCAAGACCCCTGCCCAATGCGTTTTTCATCAACTTTTTTACAAATATAGCACAAAACTGGGGAGGCCGCCCAGTTTTGGTACCCACTGAAACGAACACTGGGGAGGCCGCCAGCACGATGGCGAGATCCAATCGTGCGCCTTTATGGTGTCACTTGGTCTCGTCAAACTCAGGATCGATCGAAATGGAGAAGTTGCCAGCTGCATCGATGGCGTGACACCAGAGATCGATGAAACAACAGCTGTTCAAGGTATTCAAGGTAAGGTATAGCACAAAAAATAAGTGAAATTAAGAAGCTACTTGAAAAGCCACTGTACATTAGATGGCAAAATGGCTGTGTGTAACTAAAAACTGACCGTTAATAATGGACAACCAAACTGCTTTGTTCATGAAATTCGGTCCACTGCTTGATGCTCTTTCTCCGGGCACAACAGACCGCAGTAAAACATCGTAATTATTCGCAACACATCGGCTTTCAACAATAACAAATGAGCTTACCACCCCACATATGCTGAGGGGCTCAATGCTCAAACATTCCTGAAAAAGTATGGAAAAGTTGAAAGTTTCAGGAAAAAACAAGGGAAAATTGAAACTTTCAGGAGCAACTTATTGGGCGGGGCAAAAAAAAGGAACCCCCGCCAAATAAACTGAAAAATTCGATGGGTAAAATATGCTGCTTGTCTTGCTGAGGCCAATGACCATGACGTTTTAGTAAGTGATAATCGCAAGAAAGAACAAGATGCATCAGACACACACACACACACACGTACACCCCACACACACATATACATATATACACAAACACACACAGACAACCCTGTGACAAAATGCGCTTTGTACAGCTGTTGCACAGCATAAAACGCATAAAAACTATCACTTTAGCAATCTTCGAGATGGTACACATACATCGAACAGGCAGTGAGTATTAATCGGAGGTATCAGTTTCGGGCTGAAGCGCCCGAAGCAGCTCAACCCGGAGTATAGGAGCAATTTAACAACTTCACTAACATGGAATATTCACAATAACTGCACAGACGATCTTCGTATTCTCACGGCAGCACAGAAAAAAGGAAAGAAATGAGGGAGAATGAGTGAAAAATCAATGCTTTTGAAGGCCATAATGTTATTTACAAATCCTCGAAATCCCACAACTTCTGCAGTGCACTTGAAATGGCTCCAAGCTGCTACCGCACAATTACTTGACACAACAAAACTATCCTCATTTCATTTCTAACCACATCATTACATATCAAGCAGAAGGGAACTCGAGTCAGGAGATGGGACATTTGCATATCACATGGAATCGAAGGGCAACTGGGCAAGGTGAAACGGTTTAGCCACCAGCTTCGCTTCCTTGCTGCTAACACCTTCTTCCATTTGCAACACAACATCAATTTACGGCCAAATGTACCCAAATGCAAATTCAAATCCCAAAGGCCTCAGATCCATAGCACGCTTCAAGAACCACTTCCACAGATCTGCTAATGGTATCAAGAGATGAAAACAACTAAAAAGAACAACAGAACCAACCTCCCAAGCTGTTTTTGTTGAGCGTTCGCCTGTTTTATACATTGTCAATCGTCCGAAACCATTCGATACAAAGGCGTAGTGAGCGTCTGGAAAAGATATTGTGGCCGGATAACGATCCTCACGCTCCTCAGCATCTGGCGGAATGGGAAGAGTTGGATAGTTTTCACAAACTGTGAACTTTTTGGCCTGCAAAATAATCAAATGAGCTTGGAATTCCCATAATCAACCAAAAAAAAAAAATATTGAAAAAAAAATCAGTGTTGCTACCAAGGCAATGAATACCAGGAAGAAAAGCTGGGCTGGTCATGTGACAAAAAATGAGAGAACCTTAACCGAAGGAGACCAAAATGAACATAAAATGCGGAAAAAAAAAGAGGAATTAGTAAATACAGGAAAATAAAAAAAAAAGAAAAAAAAGATAAAACGGTTGTTATCGCAGAGTACAATGGGAAAAAAACAGTACAAGTAATATATATCTTTCTATGGAAAAATCTGAAGATGTGAATGGATTTTAAACTATTTTTCATTCCAATTTTGTAAGTCGTATTGACAATAAAAATTTTTGAATTTTACATATGCTACAAGAAAAATGTATCCTCTTCTGTCTTAACTCATAATTATTTTCTTCGATTTTTTGTTGTTATATATTTCCTCCTTTCTTTCAAATCGATACTTTTACAGCGATTTATTTCTAATTTCACTTATGCGGCATTCGAGATCCCTTTTTATGCGTTTTTTGCAGCAATGCAATGCAAAAAACGCATATTGACGAGAGGTTGTCTGTGTGTTTTTATGCGTTTTTTGCAGCAATGCAATGCGAAAAACGCATATTGACGAGAGGTTGTCTGTGTGTGTATGTGTCTGTGTGTGCGTATGCGTTTTTTAGATGCAATGCGAAAAACGCATATTGACGAGAGGTTGTCTGTGTGTGTGTTTGAAGCAAGCTGAATAGGGAGGGGAGTTTGACTTTTTGCCTATATTTTGTCACTAGTACTGGTTTTTACGCTTTTTTTTTGCAGTTATGCAATGCAAAAAACGCATATTGACGAGAGGTTGTCTGTGTGTGTGTGTGTGTGTTTTGCAGCAATGCAATGCGAAAAACGCATATTGACGAGAGGTTGTCTGTGTGTGTGTCTGTGTGTGTGTTTGTGTGTGTCAGCATGCAATGCGAAAAACGCATATTGACGAGAGGTTGTCTGTGTGTGTGTGTCTGTGTGTGTGTTCAATGCAATGCGAAAAACGCATATTGACGAGAGGTTGTCTGTGTGTGTGTGTGTGTCTGTGTGTGTTTGTGTGTGTGTCTGTGTGTGCGCTACATATTGACGAGAGAGAGGTTGTCTGTGTGTGTGTGTGTGTCAGCAATGCAATGCGAAAAACGCATATTGACGAGAGGTTGTCTGTGTGTGTGTGTGTCTGTGTGTGCGCTGCGCGTCTGTACCGATTTTTCATCTCGATACCGGCAAAAGCTACGGGGCTGAAACTTTGGGAACTTAATCTGCATGCACGTACGGGCCCCCATTCCCAAAATGGGCGGTCTTTCCCGCGTGGTACCCCCATAGGACCCCGCCAAAGTTTTTTACGGGTAAGCTGCTAACTCGCAAACCACAAAAGCTAGAGAGCTGAAATTTTATGCGAATGTTCCCCGTCCAAGCAGGTGCTAATGAGCTCAAACTCTGTCCCCCA